TGAGCGTTTGGTACCAGATACCTCAGATGACATATCTGAAAAAATTGGAGAATTATATGTGCCTACGAATTGTTTAAAAATAGTGGAGGATAAAAATCTACTAAAGTGAATTTATTAAACCACGAATCACAATAATTAAGTAAATTTTGAATACATTTTCTGCAATTCCATAAAAGAGTGTAAATTTTATAGTTCTATATCATGTATTATATAGTTCTATATTTTCGCGGTATATGTGAAAGGTCAGTGTTAGCAAGCGGTGGCAGACGCAGCCTAAATATAATTTCAGTGTCAGCCACCGGTGGTTGAAGTGGCCTAAATGTAATTTAAGTGTCAGCCACCGGTGGTTGACGAGGCCTAAATGGAAAGTCCAGTGTCAGCCACCGGTGGTTGACGTGGCCTAAATGGAAAGTCCAGTGTCAGCCACCGGTGGTTGACCCGGAGCTCAACGTGTTAAGCTAGTAAAAATGAGATATGGAACAAAGCGAGATGCGACATTTAAAAAAGAAGAAGAAGAGTTGGTTTTGGGCTGATGAAGTTAAAATCTGATGAAATGATTTATTTTTTATCTCATAAAATGCTGCTCTTAAATTATTTTCACGTACAAATTCCCTTTTCTTTCAAAAAGTTCTACACTTTCTTCATACTAAGTGAATTTATCTGAAATTTCGAAAAACAATCATCTCCCCATAAGCAGTCACAAAGCCATAAGGTCCAATTCCGGCAGATAATTTTGCAGCTAGCTCCGTTCCTAAGGCAGCTAAAACTATTACTGTTATAAAACGAAACAAACAATTGCGAAGTGTTAAAAGTTTTTAGTCTTTTTTTCTCCTCAGAAAGCCTCAAAATCATAAAAAAACATGGTTACCTCATCACAGCATAGGCCTCAATCGGTAGGTAACAAGTGAAACTTATTGCGTTGCACAATTCATTGAACCATATTTGAGGAAACTTATTGCATTGCACAATTCATTGAACCATATTTGAGGATTTCGAATTAAATGTACACAGTTATCCCTATCAGTATTTATATAAACGATAAATTGCATGCCTAATGTTTCCTTATTTTTGCTTTCATGTCTCAATAGTCGAAAATATTTTTTGGTTGGTCCCTATCAATTCTGTTTGGAGGAATCGTCGTCTTCGCAACTTATTTATGGAACTCAGGACGCGTTGCTACTACATTGGAGTCTGCGTTGTATGGTGGATTCCATAGACTTTTATGGTGCTTAATGATTTCATGGATAACGTACATGTGCATCAATGAAAATGGAGGTAAGTTTATAAAATAAATTTAGAATTTTTTTTTTTCTTAATAGACAGATTCAAAATTTGTATATTTGAGATTCTTGATGAAAATGGCATGTATGCTTGAATAGAATTTTAATAATGAAAAATCAGAAGGATATAAAGTGAACAAAGTGGGTTGAAGAATCAAGCATCAAATTAAACACTGTAATTTTTCTATCATTATTGAGATCAATGCTGTGATGCCACAATTGGCATTACATATTTATTTGCAATCCTTTTAAATATCTCTTATTACTTAAGCTGATTTTTATTAATAGAATTACTTTTTAAATAAATCAAAGACTTAATCTTTTAAAAACGAACATGAACATATAATATTTATCCTTCTCTTATAGATCAATGCAACGGATACTTTTTATTACATTACTAATGCAGACTTATTAATTCACTGTCGCCTATAATCGAAAACAAAAATCTATTTATAACTTTTTATTTCTAATTTCTAACCGCAAAAATTTTTCAGTTGCATGGTTATAATAATTATCATAAATTTGTTGGCGACTCGTGATCGCCAAGGTATTATTTTAAACCCAATATTGATATACTGGTTGGCTTTGTTTTGGCTATGTTATAATTTATTAAATCGCCAATTTTGGATCTCCTACCCATGCTTCTGTGTCCGTTGGGAACAAATTACACGTACTTTTTAATCTGGCTTTTGACTAGGCAGGTTGTGGGGGATTCGTCTCCCATGGCCTGTCCTTATTACTATTATTATGCAAAAATTGATTCAACTGAAATTCTTATGGATAATATGTATATTTGGTACCTCGAGCTCTGCAAGTATATAAAATAAAAGCTTTTTATTAATTCTGATCCGGTTCAACTGTTAATTTTCATCACCCTTCTGTTTTCATCGCAATCTTCAATTTGTCAGTATTCTTCAACTAGTCCACTATACCAATACAAGCTTCCACCCACACCCTGAATATTCCTTCACCATAAATGCGAAGCTCTTTATTCCAACTGTTAATAGCTATGAATTTAAACGCATAAAAAATGCACTACTGAGCAACAATTTTGAAACACCCCATTAAAAAATCTCTCTAATAATTTTTTTATTTTATCATTTATTATCGCAATGATAATTCGAGTAGTTTTGTAATTTTTCGTTTGACAGATGCAAGAAAATTTTTTTTTTACTTCTTAATTTTTGTGAACATTTATTTCTTCAATGTATAAAAAAGTGAATAAAAGAAATGAAATTTAAAAAATTGGTGGAGGTTTACATTTTTGGCAATTTTTTGCTTGCACCCAGCTAAGCAAAAGGTACCCTCCTCATTTTTTTCTAATTTTTAATTTAAAAAAATAAACACATCAAATTTACAATTACTAAAATTATACAAATACAAATCATATTCCTTAATCTCCGCTCTTACTCTACCTTTTTATCAGTCTTAACAAATACGAAATCAGAAAATATGGACATTAGGAATCGCAATGCAAAACTTAACAAAAGATAAAGAACAAAAGCCATAGCAAAATCAGTCGAATTACTATTAAAAAAGGCAAAATTAAACACAAAAAAACTAGTTTAATCCGCATATTGAAGTTGGAGATTTTCTAATAGTTAAATTTGTTGGAAGTGATATGGAATAGTTATTTGATTATCCTTATTAGATAGTCTAAAGAATTAATCACATGAGTATTTTACTCTTGAAATGAAAACTTCACATTCTTGCTTGACAACAAAACTTTATAAACTTTATTTACATGCACACCGCCACACTGGCTGTTCGGGTCGTTCTGAAAAATAAGAGTTGAATTTACTTGCACTCAGTAAGTTTTCATTGAGGACTTTATGACCTGCGTCGATAAAAAGTTCCATAATCCCTTGTCAATATTTCTATGATAAGTCTCACCTGATGTAACTCTCTAGCTTAAATTAGATATATGAACACTAACTCAGGTAAGCTTTAATCGCTATTTTTAAATTTACTGAGATGAAGAAAATTCTAAAGTGCACAAAACTTTCTCACTTCTTTCCATAAAAGTTGAGAACTTTTATGCTATTTTTTTAATCCAATTAAACCAAGGCAACTTTTACAATGTCAGAAAAATTTAAAAAGTAACTTTAAACTTCTCGGCGCTTATTTATGCTTATGTAACGATGCAAATAATTTCATAATCTATTATGTTTTAATACAAAAATATTAATAAAAGTGTTCCTTAAATAGCAGTCTTATACACCGAAGAACCATTACATCATGACCACCTTCCATCTATAACAATGGGCTCGCCCAGGTTTTCATGATTTCTCGCCCAGGAACATGGGGCACATTAGTACCCATAATCCTCATAGAACAATTCCTGACGTCTGTAAGCTACTTGAACATAGTTGCAGACCAGGTTCACCCATTCATGGCAAAAGAAATTTTTGCGGGGGATGGTATTTAGCAACAGTATAATGCACCATGTCATAAGGGTCGAATCGTCGAGGAACACTCCAGTGACTTTCAAGTCATGTCTTGGCCGCCAAATTCACCTGACCTTAATCCAATAGAGCATTTGTGGTCCTACTTGGAAAACCAAATTCGTGCTGCCACGCTACCCCCTCATAATGTGAGGGAATTGCAGGACCAGTTGGTGAGCGTTTGGTACCAGATACCTCAGACTACCTATCAGCACCTTGTGGAATCAATGCCATGGCGGGTGCTAGCAGTTTTGAGGGCTAAAGGTGGTCCTACATGTTATTAGCAGGGTGGTCATAATGTAATGGCTCTTCGATGTATTTGTTTTATTTATTTCTTTAATTAAATCGATGATTGAACCTTATTAAATTATAAAGAGATGCAAAGAAGATAAAACACGCATTTTTTTTGCAAGCATTGAAATTTTTTTAATGTGATTTCAATTGTTAATCACATTAATTTTGGGATAACTCCTGCAATGCATCATTTGTACAAAAGTTTCGGTTATTAAACTTTGCTTAAATATTGAAGAATAAATTTGATGATATCTAAATTTGTTTATTTTCATTATGATTAGATCAAAGCTATCTAAATTTGTATTAAAGTTTATCCCAATTAATATTTAATTTAGTCAAATAAAAATTATTTATATATACTAAACCAAAATGCATGTACCCAAAAATATACACTAAAATTTTTTTTAACTTTATTACTGTAATAAAACGTTGTTAAAGCACAAAATTATCTCGCATAATTTTTATAAGAATAATTTAAATAAAATTATTTTTAAACATATGTGAAATTTCATTTATTGGCGTTTAACTTGGATTGTACTAGTACGACAATACCTAGTTGGATTGTCCTAGTATGAATTGGATTGCCCTAGTACGACAAAATCACAAATGTTTCATTTTCTTTATCAGTTTCTTTTAGTTTTAGAATGCCCATAATTAAAAACAGAGGGGTTTTTTTATTTCCAATGAGCTGCATTATCGGTCGTGCCGATGAGCAGACCTAGTGCGTTCTCCAGAGATGGTATCTACTCTTTCAGGACCACCACAATTGGTGAGATACCGTTGGCCATGTTAATTTGGACGTCTAGTTTCTGCCACACTAGATGGCAGCACCGAGCACTAGGAATTTAATTTTGCCGGAAATGCCAAGAGCCAATAAGGCACTTCAGGGATCTTTTACATGCCGCATAATCATGCGACATGGCCGCTGAGGATTTTCTGCATCCCGAAAATCCGGTGTCTGGGCCGGGGATCGAACCCGCAGACTTGGGTTCAGAAGGCCGACGACAACCCAACTACGCCACCCAGCAAACAAAAACAGAGGGTACAATAATTCAAAAAATAATTGCTTGTTTCAAACATGCATTCGATTTGTATACTGTGTTAGAGTAATTTATTAATATTCAACGATTAGTTAACAAAGTAAGAAAAAATTTAAACATATACAAAAGTATGTTCAGTATTAGGATTTCTATCAATAATAGTAAACGAAATAGACTATTATTAATTTTAGTGGTGACGGCATCTGTAAAAATATGTAGTGATAGAGTCAATATTATTTCATTTTGCAATAATGTATTTTTTAAATCTTATTTCCACAGGGGTAGTTCAGTCCATTTTGAGTTGGTATGGTTTTGTTCCACTTGGACGTCTGACTTACATGGCATACTTACTTCATCCAATCATTATAATACTGTGTTTTGGACGATTTCGACATTCTATTGCTGCTGATCAAATGTTCTTGGTAAAGTATCAAAAAGGGGGGATACTTATCTATGTTACCGGCAAAGTATGAAACTCCGGCATTGTATAGAATGACTAGGCATTGTATAGAATGCCTGACGTTTTTAGGCAAAGTATGAAATATGAGAAGTATTACATACTTTGCCAAGGCATTCTATACAATGCCGGATGCTATTTGGGCAAAGTATGAAATAAACGCCATGATGAGATTATTATGTAAATGATGTGCATGTTACTGTGAATGAGCGAAATCGGTGGTTGTTCGCAATCACATAGTCACTTTTGGTGAATGTCCGAAATATTTATTACATCCGGTTTTTTTAATTTATTCATGGATATAATTACATTTATTCGATATTTTAATACTTACTGACGATAGATTAGAAGAAACATCAGTGTAGGGTATACCGGGCAAATGTATACCAGATAGTGACCCTTGACCTTAAAAAAGCATCAGTGTAAGGTATACCGGGCAAATGTATACCGGGGAATGGCGCTTAACTAGATCTAGTATATATTTCGGACATTTACCAAAAAACCAGTCATACTAGTTCTAGTTAAGTGCCATTGCCCGGTATACCTTACACTGATGTTCTTTTTAAGGTCAAGTGCCACTACCCAGTATACATTTGCCCGGTATACACTACACTGATGTTTCGTCCAATCTATCGTCAGTAAGTATTAAAATATCGAATTAATGTAAAACTACTGATGTCGATCATTCCCAGTAACATGCAATTCTTAAAAATAAAAATGTTATTCTGAAAAAATGCTGAGAGTGCCATTGAAAAGCATTTATTCAAAATGTGGAAAGAAAATAAAAAAGTTATGCAAAACAAAATTTAAGCCTTTCTTATTAAGGGAAACAAAATTTTCATATAAAAAATATTAAATTAACCTACTTGTTGCAACATGACATTTTGAATTACATTTCATTAAATTTTTCCATGTAAATTTCATTACATTCCTCCATTTCCATGTAGCACAGTAAAAAAATAATTTTTGTTATTAGTCCAAAATAACGAGCCACGCTTTAAAAGTCACGAGTCTTGCCAAGTGATATTTGAAACGAATCGGGGATGTATTTTATACTTTGCCGATTTCTCATTTGGCAATCTATAGAATGCCTAGGAAATGTGTGAAATATAAATCATTTCATACTTTTCCGGCTAATTTTAGGCATTCTATACAATGCCTAGTCATTCTATACAATGCCGGATTTCATACTTTGATGGTAACATATACATCTTTAAACTAATAATATTTATCGTTCATGTTTTGATTGGACAGGCAGCGACATACGAATTTTATAAAAAAGGATTAAATTATCTTGATTTACAAGACTGCCTTTTAATTGAAAGAAAAATGTAGAAAAATCAAAATAATTATTTGAATAAATTTAACAGATGAATATTTATATCATTACACAAAGTTAAACAGCTACCACTACTAAAATACGAAATAAGCCTATGCATATTATACGTCTTGTAAAGCGATAAATAAAATAGTCTAAAATAGAAATTAAAAATATACTTTTCCACCATAAAACCTTTTTTTTTAAAAATAAAAAACATGTGAAATGAATTTAAATGAATATATGCATCATTACACAATGTGTAACTGCTACTAAAACTGCTACTAAAATACGTAATAAGCCTATTGCATATGGTGACCGTTATTCATTATTGACATAATATCTCCAGTAATTTAAAACCATAAATAAAATAGTCTAATATGGAAATTGAAAGTTTGAACAAAAATATACTTTTCTACCCAAGAAACCTTTTCTCTAAAAGAAAAAAATTACTTACATGTTGTAATTATTCATTGTATTACATATTACCAATCTGTCGGAATTTTCAGAAAAAGTTTGACTGGTGAATTTCTGATGATAATACTGATGAATTATTCTAGATTTCCATGTAAGTCCAATGCTCCCTTTCCCTAACATAGCATTCTAAGTTGTGTCATACTGACAATAGCCAAAGTAGTGAATCAAAATCGTTCCATAGTTTTATTATTCATTTTTTACAAATCGACGTTTGCATCAATCTTAATATTAATCTGCCTTTAACCTTCTTCAATTTTATTCCACTAGGATTCATAGTTGGGTGTAGAAAATTCACGCCTTGAAAAAGATAATTCTAAGTCTATGAATTAATGAATAAACACCACTTGGATTGAAATTACCCTAGACCAGATTTAATTAATTTGCTTATTTCTTTTAAAATGTTATCTAGTACACACCCTTCCATATACGTAATGATGATAAATGTAAAACAACAGGACTGTAATTTAAAAAAAGAACAATTATTTTAATGGTATGAGCCTTGTCTAATTTTAAATGCACAATTCGTAGTTTACAACAAACTTAATAATGAAGAATGATGCCACCAATCAAACAATAAAATGGAAGCACTCGAAAGAGAATTATAAAAATCTTTTGCGGTTGAAAACTAATTAAGAATATTCGCGATCGCAACGCTCGAGTACGCCGTCTAGCGGGAGCCTGTAAATATCGGACATTAATTTATCACGTTTTCATTTAGTTCCATCAAAGTCATTGACTGAATCAGACGCCATTTTTTAGCAGCAAATAAGAAACAAAATTTCCCTAAGGAAAAGGCCGAAGAACTTGAANCAAATATTTATAAAAATTAAATTTATAAACATCTTAAATTCCTTTTTATTTTTATTGAAAGATATTAATATGTAGTTTTCATAAATGTAAAGTTTGAAGTTTTAAAATGTATTTAATATTAAGAAAAAATTGCTTGTCGATATGGTTGAAAAAATCATTTTTTCGACACCGAAAACGTCTTGCTTCCCTTAAACTAATAACATTTATCGCTCATGTTTTGATTGGACAGGCTGCGACATTCAAATTTTAGAAAAAGGTTAAATTATCTTGATTTACAAGACTGCCTTTTAATTAGAGAAGAAAAATGTAGAAGAATCAAAATAATTATTTAAATAAATTTAAGAAATGAATATTTATATCATTACACAAAGTTTAACAGCTACCACTACGAAATAAGCCTATACATATTATGCGTCTAGTAAAACGATAAATAAAATAGTCTAAAATAGAAATTAAAAATATACTTTTCCACCATAAACCCTTTTTTTTTTAAAAAAAAGTTACACGTGAAATGAAATTAAGTGAATATTGGTATCATTACACAATGTGTAACTGCTACGAAAACTGTTACTTAAATACGGAATAAGCCTATTGTATATGGTGACCGTTATTCATTATTGGCATAATATCTCCAGTAATTTAAAACCATAAATAAAATAGTCTAATATAGAAATTGAAAGTTTAATTGAAAATATACTTTTCTACCCAAGAAACCTTTTTTTCTAAAAGAAAAAAATTACTTACATGTTATAATTATTAATTGTATTGCATGTTGCCTATCTGCCGGAATTTTCAGAAAAATTTTGATTGGTAAATTTCTGATGACAATACTGATGAATTATTCTAGATTTCCATGTAAGTTCAATGCTCCCTTTCCCTAACATAGCATTCTAAGTTGTGTCATAATGTCAATAGCCAAAGTAGTGAATCAAAATCGTTCCATAGTTTTATTATTCATTTTTTACAAATCGACATTTGCATCAATCCTAATATTAATCTGTCTTTAACCTACTTCAATTTTATTCTAGTAGGATTCATCGTTGGGTGTAGAAAATTCACACTTTAAAAAAGATAATTCAAAGTCTATGAATTGATGAATAAACGCCACTTGGATTGAAATTACCCTAGGCCAGATTTAATTAATTTGCTTATTGTTTTTAGAATGTTATCTAGTACACACCTTTCTATATACATAATGATGATAAATGTAAGACAACAGAACTGTAATTTAAAAAAAGAACAATTATTTTAATGGTATGGACCTTGTGTGATTTTAAATGCACACTTCGTAGTTTACAACAAACTTAATAATGAAGAATGATGCCACCAATCAAACAATAAAATGGAAGCACTCGAAAGAGAATGAAAAAAATATTTTGCGGTTGAAAACTAATTAAGAATATCGTCTGTCTTGACATGTGGATAAAAAGGGCAGGCATTATTTGATATCAAGTTTGTTTTATTAATTAGATATACTATTAGATATATTATTGTTTTATTTATTACATAAACTAAATGATTTTTAAATTTAATTTTCAGGCGTACGCATTTATAAGTTTTACTTTTGTCACCTATTTCCTAAGTTTCATCTTCTGCATGATTTGTGAAGCCCCAATTACGGCATTGCTGAGTGTTCTTATATCCTCTAAAGTTAGAAAGAATGGTGTGAATAGTATAAAGAAAAGAAAAGAAAGCTTCTCAGTGTAATATAATTAACATGATTGAAACACTTATCTATACAAATAAAGTTCTTCGGATTTGTTGGAAGACTGAAAGTTTACTTATGTACTTTCTAATTTTTGAAAGACTCAAGTAGTTCCATACTTTGTGTAGAACATAAATAATTAAAAATTATATAGTTATTTTACTTTTGAAATAATTTTACATTGGTGATACAACTACATGGATTATTTTTTTAAATTCTAATTTTTAAAAAACGCATTGAACGTCCTCTGTAGAACATAAACAATTAAAAATTATATAGTTATTTTACCTTCGAAATAATTTCATATTAGTGATACAACTTCATGGATCATTTTTTTTAAACTCTAGTATTGAAAAACTCAATAACAAAGTAGATCCATTCTTTTTGTAGAAGGCAAATTATTAAAAATTATATATTTACTTTACCTTCAAAATAATTTTATATTGGTGATACAACTACATGGATTATTTTTCAAAACTCTAGTTTTTAAAAAACCCATTGAACAAAGCAATTCTATGTCCTCTGTAGAACATAAACAATTAAAATTACATAGTTATTTTACCTTCGAAATAATTTTATATTGGTAATATAACTACATGGATGATTTTTTTTAAACTTCAGTTTTTTAAAAACTCAATGGGCAAACTGTTTCCATGCTTTTTGTAAATGATAAATCATTAAAAATTATATAGTTATTTTACCTTCGAAATAATTGTATATTGATGATATAGCTATATGGATCCTTTTTTTAAACCTTCGTTTGACCGTAAGAAACAAAAAGAGAGAGGAACATTTATTTTTGTAATTGTCACCGTGAATATATAGTTAAGAGAACGTTGAAAGTTTTAAAAACCCACTGATGTTAGATGGTCATAATGTGCTTTGAAGCAGCTTACTGTTCAGAAAATGTTGATTTATACTCTAGAAGACTGAGAATCCATATTCCTTTGTTTTCACGCCCTTCGATATCATTTGAACCACAACTTTGTTTTATGATTTTCGGGGGGGGGGTCAAAGCTTAGAAACCAACGAAACACTTAATGTTTTGTCCCGCTTCAAACTGCTCTTAGAATGACAAATGGATACTCAAGATAATTAAAGACGAGTTCTTATTAATTTAGCATGCGGGTCAAACATTCTGATCAACGAGAAACTCTAAAGTCCATCATGACTGTTTAACATCTTCGAAAACAACGTTCTCGAGAGAGAAGATTTAAAACTTTAATTCCATGCTTATTACCGAGATCTTGGTGTCAATTATGTGAAAAGTAGCATCGGAACAACCTTGACTCATAATATCGGTACCTTAAACCTTATCAAAATGAATCTGCTGCAGAATTGATATATTGTAGAATTGAACACATGCTTCAGTTCAAGTAGAACTATAATAATATTAGCTTCCTTTAGTGATCAGCTTGGTCACCTCTAAAATTTTTCTCGTACAGCATATAAACTTTAGTGGTAACTACAGCAAATTGCACAGCATAACTGTATTTAAATATTTTTATTCATCTACCCTCCTCCAATCCTAACACCATAATTAGTTTTTAAAAAATACATTAAGCAAATTCGTTCACCATTTAGATGTTCCCTGTGGGTTTGCCCATGCGGAAGTATCAATTTTAACAATTTTTATTAGGTATCCGTGATATCGCCCAAAGTTTCTTTATTTTATGCATTTAATTTTAGTAATAATTTAAATCCGCCCAGTACCCATTAAATCAGTCAAAGCAAATGACTCAAATGACAAATCACTCAAACTGAGTTCTGAAGATTTCGCATTTTAGGCAGCGAAAGTATTAAAATTATTTCCATCTCTGTCATGAGATAAGATTAAAAAAAACTAATCCCAATGTTCCATTTCATGCTGTAATACTTCCTCATGCATCTCTCGAGCCATAACTTAGATATCGTAAATCATATATACGTACTATTACTCGAAAGAGCAAGCTCCATCTCCATTAATTGGTATGAAAGTATTCGGCACCATAGCACGTTATGTGTTTGAAATTTCTATAGCCATTTCAGAATGGATAAAAAAATTAATCTAAATTATTATTTCGTTACTAAGTTTTTATTTCTATTAGCATACAAAATTATTCTAAATAAATATTTATCGTATTATTTTTCAACACTACTTAGATTATTACTTAAAACAACTTAACAAAATGAATAATAACTATAATGTTACCGATAGATAGAGAAATATCCGTGTTTACTGTTCCATATAAGTGAAATATATATTATAGATTAGTGAATACTTAATCACTCTTGACTTTTCTCTGTGATACTACGATATTTTTAAATAATAAGTCCTACGCAATTCTGTATCTTTGTTACAAATGCCACGTGCCATAAGAAATGTCACGATTTAGCAACAAATGAGCTTATAGGTACCCAATTGGATAACATATAGTACTTTTGTTCCAGGCACTTTCTAAGCTTTGCTATCATTATTTTGGAGCACTCAATATTATAGTGAAGCAGTTATCTTAATTTGTTAAAGAAGAACTTATAGCTCAAAGATATTTTAAAATTTAAGAAAAAAATTATGTGATTAGAAACTTTTTGAAAATAATTTACAAAGCTTTATTTCTTTTATTTTTGATCATATAATGATTACAAATAATGCAAAATTTTGCATTTTGAAACACACAGCTTCATGTGACAATAAGTATTGTTACAACTGCTGAATTTAAATCAATAATATAAATATTTATAAATATTAAATATGGAACAAGATTTCTATGCAAATATCACAAATGTATTATTACAAATAACATAACTGTCTATACGTTGAACATAAACTTACAGAACGATAGCTTTTTATTGAATTTACAGGATATTTCAAACACTGAATATTTTTCCTCAATTGAATACTAAATTGAAATAACTGAAAGTAATTGAGAAAATTATTAATCAACACCAGAAAAATATCCTCATGAAACATTCAATCAGTCACTCACTCTCAACAATTCAAGCAATTAATATTTTTTTCTATTGAATAATAAATTAAAACAACTCGCAGTAGTTGGGAAAATTATTAATCAGCAACAGAAAAATATTCTCACGAAACATTCAAACACTCGCTCACTCTCATGTCCTCTCTAATTATCATTTAAATCTTTCATTCACTCCAAGGTTTCCTTGCCAAGCTGAAATTTTCACCATTTAGTCAATAATTTACAAGTGTCAAGAAATCATGCATTACTAAAGCAATTAAGTAAAATATTAAAATAAAGCAACAAATATCCAAAGAAAAAAAATTTAGAGATCTAAAAAAAACAGCCAACACTACATTACCTGATTTAAATCTGAGATACATTACCTAAAAAAAAGAGACAAAATATGAAATTATCATCAACAATAAACCATGGTAAAAATCAATTTTTTTTAAAAAAAAAATCTCATATTTATATATAAAATTTGCAATATTTTTTTTAAATGTCGCTTTCGCGAGGGAGAAAATAATAGCAATCAACTAAAAAGATGCACTAACAATTTAGCTTATTTTGATATCACTATTTTTTTCAAAATATAACTAAAAATAGAGACATAAAAATTCCTATACTCAGTTGTAGAGGATTCGATTATTTGTAACTACTTGAAGACAAAACAGCAATTGTATAAGTTTGTATAGTTTGTGCAAAGAATAGAGTCTCGGTGCTGCCATCTAGTGTGACAGAAACTAGACGTCCAAATTAACATGACCAAATTAACATGACTCATTGTGGTGGTCCTGAAAGAGTGGATACCACCTCTGGAGAACGCACTAGGTCTGCTCATCGGCAAGATCAATAATGCAGCTCATTGGAAATAAAAATAAATTAAAAAAAATAAAAAAAAGTTTGTGCAAAGTAAAAATAAAAAACCTTAACCATTCGTCTGGACCCGTGGTGGGGACTATGATAACGAGGTATGACTATTTCAAGTAGGGTTGTGGGGTAATTGTTTAAGACAGAATTCGGCTCGGGTGAGCGAAGGACAGAAAAACTTTTTCTTCGGTCTATTGTGTTAACCATAGAGTGAAGAAAAGCTACCCTCCTTGGAATGCGCTATTCTTGTTTTCATAGCTGCGGATGTCCTCAGTCTTTGTGCCGGGGGGAGTTCTTACCGTAGACAAACTATATGATTAGTTTTCGAGATATGAATGTGATGAGTATAAAAAATATGATTTAAAGGAGAACAAGACAGAAGTTTGAAAGTTACCATGTACTATAAGTCCCTGTATCTAACGTGGTTACAGAGTTGTAACAAAGTACTTTCAAAATTAACCAAAAGAAAAAGAGAGCGTAGTTGATTACAGCATCTCTAATCTCGCTTTCTTAATCGGAGTCAGAATCATGCTATCTTTATGAAGCTACATTTCGTTTTTTTAATCAACCAAAGGACATTCCAACTACACCTGAGCTGAATAAATTATTGATGAGTTGAATACATTACATTTAATATCTCTTAACTTAAAAACATATCTTTATTTTCAGCTCGCTTGCTAAATTTTCAACTAAAAATAACTTCTCAGCTAAGAAGCTAACCTTTTATCAATATATTAACCGTCTATTTAGCAAATACAGTGAATTGTAAAATATTTTAAAACTTGTTTCGGTTTTTGGATATTTATACGCATAACTTTAACCCTTTGACGAAGATGCGACACGTGATATAAATTTTTCTGGAGCTCCTTTTCCTGGTTTCTTTAGTAATGAATTCCTCAAGTAAAATTATATTATAGTACTTTTTAACTATTAATAACAGTCTAATAGTCATTAAAAAAATCTGTTTAGATTATAGTTGTTCTGAAATATAAGATCCAGAAAAAATCAATTTGAAAAAAGAAAATAAATTCATTCATTTCAAAAAATATATCAATAATTGATGTTAGAAATTAAAAACTTTAAATGAAGAATAACTGAATAACAGGAATGTGACTTCAGAGTTGAAATTCGATGTGTAGAAAGGGACATTTCTATTTATGAATGCGAGTTTTTTTGTTTTTTAACTTTTAATTTATTCAAAAGTTACTGCATTTTAGAGTCTTTTTTTTTTGCTTTAAATAATGGCTATTTACCCAATGTAGAAAAATGTATCTCGCTGGAGATCTTCATTTCATAAGCTTGCACCTGACCTGGCTTGCAAACAAAGTAACAAAAACACGAATAAATAAAATAAAGTAAATAAGTGAGAGAAATTCGGTGTTTCCAGACATAAATCTTACCAAATTTTTAAAAATATAAAACTTTCAAAAGAGATAAGAACCGTTTCCAATTCAAGCTGTTATGTTGGTAGGTAGTTTTTTTAATTTACGTCGCACTAGAGCTGCACAATAGGCTATTAGCGACGGTCTGGGAAACATCCCTGAGGATGATCAAAAAACATGCCATCACAATTTTGATCCTCAGCAGAGGGGATGGCTCCTCTGATTTGGTAGCCCAACGACCTGCTCCCGAAGTCGAGCACTTTACGATGGAACAGTTAAATGAGGACCGATACAGCGCACGCTCGGTCCCTACGCAGGCTGGTCAAAGTGGTCATCCACCCTCTTACTGACTGCAACCAGTGATGCTTGACCGTGTCTTTACGATCAGTCCACTGCGCGACCGAACTGTTATGTAATACAAAATGTTCGTAACTTATTGTTAACTAGTAAAATTACTTTTCGCCTATTGCTTCCTATTTTTTCACACATTCTGCATTCCTCAATGTTATATATTTTTATTGCAAGGAGTTGATCATTTCTCAAATCCAAGAAATCGTTCCTTTGTTACGATTAGCATATTAACAAAATATTCTTAATCAAAATTATAAAAACTTTATATTTTGTAAATAAATAATCATTGTTTGTTTTGAAAAATATTGATTTTTAAGAAAAATAAACAGAGACGAATGATTTATTAGAATTGAATTACCACTTTGATCAGCCTGTGTTGGGATCGAGGGTGAGAAGTAATCACTTTTGTTTATTCTCTTTCATGTATTGCAAGTCTTGTAAATGGGTGCCAGATTTTGAGAGCTTGAAACATGGAGATTATTATTTCCAATTGAGATATTTTTGAAAGGAATGAAATTTTAATCGAGTAATATTTTTCCTGCTTCAGGTTCTTGGGGTTAATTATTTAATAGTGAGACCTATATTCCTAAGAAGAGCGCAGAAAAACTTACAGTCCTTCCATTTTTGTTTAATTTCTTTTTTTCTCTTTTTTTTATATTGCCAGGCATTTTTAGAAGATCCTGTTAATGCATTGTATTGAGTTTAAAAATAATCACCTGTTATCGCACACATGAAAGCTGATTGAACATCACAATCAATTGCCTTGAGTTTGAGTTTATTTCCATAATGCCATGAAACTCCGACACAATCGCTCTTATCCCCCGGTTCTCCTTCTGCCCACAGGTTTTTGTTCGGTTCAGTACCATCACTGTTGCGAAATACTCCATCCGGGTATCTCTTCAAGCCTGTTATGAGTATTCCACCTATAAAGGCATTCATGGCTGCTTCCTTCATATTCTTTTTCGACGCCTCGTTCTTGACCGATGCTGGAGTTCCTGAGTCACAGCCATTCTTTATGTAAGCGTGCTCTACGTACGTGCTCATTTGAGCAACAAGGCATTGATCTCCATAAATATAGTATGGGAGGTTTTTGTCTGCGCAGGCTGCAATAGTTATAGCTTTAGTAATAATACAACATTTCTTCTACCTTCAATAAAATAATAAATATTATTCGATAAGTGTCATTAAGTTCTAAAAAATCATTTTATTGAGTATATAAGATAAAGTGGAATGACAAGGAATTTAATTAATATGCAATACAGTAAATAAGCGAAGAGATATTTTATGAAAGCATTTAATGAAAAATAATAATAGCGAAATATATGTTTTTGCGAAGCGTTCTATTTACATATCTGAATGTTACCACCTTTTTATATGAAAGTTAAACTATTCTCTGCTGTAATAAAATTAAACTTATGCGAACCTTACAAGTATATGCAACTCGAGAAACTCAAAACTATCTTGAGAAGAAGACAGCTAACATCAGGTGCTTATGTATATGTTACCGGCAAAGTATGAAATGCAAGCATTCTATAGAATGCCTATGTATTGTATATAATGTCGGACGTTTTAGGCAAAGTAAGAAATATGGGATTTACTATACTGCATGTAGTACCTAAGCATTCTATTAGAATGACAAATGCAATTTCGGCAAAGTATGAAAAAGTCCTGATAAGCCTATTATATAAATAGTGTGCATTACTCAAAAATACATATATGCTATTCTGAAAAAATAATGAAAGTACCATAGATAAATTCATTCAAAATACATAAAGAAAAAAGCTAGTTGTGCCTAATGAAATTTATGCCATTTTCTTCAGAGAAGCAAAATTTTTATATAAAATATGAGAAACCAAAATTGACCTACTTGTTGCAATATTATACTCTAGAACGTATTTTTAAATTGCATTCCATTACTTTCAAAACGAATCAAAAATATATTCCATACTTTGCAAGTTTCTCATTTGGCATTCTATTGAGCATGTGTAAAATATAAATCGTCTCACTCATTGCCCGCTACTTTTCTATACAATAGCTAACCATTCCCTAAAATTGTGAATTTTAAACATTGTCGATAACATATAAACAAGATAGCTTGTTAGCATTACAGTTAATGAACTTGGTTTATCATCACGCTGAATTAATTAATTTTTGGATCAGATTTTATTGTGTACTGGCAAGCAATGTCGCATGTGAGTATCGAACCTGATTAGTTACTGAATCATGACAAGAACAAAAGCCATGAATCCTCAGCCAATCAGTTTTGACATTCACGGGTAATATCACTTGCAGTACGTAAAAATAAATGTTGTATTTAAAATGTAACAATCAGATCAGTTCTTAACTTTAACATGAACACGCCTTAAAAATATTTTTTCCACTATTATGCTTTAATATTACTTTTGTAGCCAGGCAACATAGTAATTTAAATGTATTTTTAGTGTTCCTCTTATTGTACTGATCTAATTTGCAACGGCAATATATATAAAAATCCAGTTTGCGCTAGTTTTTGCTGAACTACGTCAGTTGAAAGATAAATTTATACCACATTTATTACTATACGATTTTTACATACGTTGTTTGCAGTTGAATGCATGATGAATAATAGCTTAACTTCAAAAGTTGTTTTTACTCTTGATTCAGATAAATTACAGAATCAACCGATTCCATACATTCCATAGAATCTCTACATAAACCAATGAAGTATAGAATAGTTGTTATATTTTGTTAAATGTTTTCATTTGGCTAAATTAATAGCTAAACTGCAAAAGACCTGACCTAAGTTTATTATTAAGATATATTGATGGAGACGATTCAAAGTGTTGAAATACTTGATAGTGTTTTATTTAATTTTTCAATAGTTTTTACTGCGCAGTGACAACAAAAAATGCTATTTTAAATTTAATGTTTTCATTTGGTTGAATTATAACTAAATTGCAAAAGACCTGATGAGCTATATATGTTCATTATTTTAAAAATATGCTAAGATCTGATGAGCTATCTATTCATTACCTCGCAGATATGTGAAGATCTGATCAGCTATGTGTTCATTATTTTTGAGATATAAAACTAGGGACATTTCAAAGCATTGATACGCATGATATTGCTCAACTGAAAAGTATCCGATTGGGTAAAAATCAGCAATTTCGTTCAAAATTTCTCTTTTTATTATTAATAACGTTATTATTTATGTTTCAATTTTAGTTCTTTAGCTTTTCAAAAGCTTTTAAATTTCTGATTTCCTATTTTTAACAATGAAACTATAGTTTTCTCGTATGTAACCGAAAGTTAACTTCCCGAAAACAAAACTAAAGGTTTTGTTATGTTTTGAACGTTTTAAACTTTATTTAGTTGAATGAAGTATCTTTTTATGACAAATTAAATTTATTTTCAGCAATTAATCTTGAATTATATTTATTTGTTGTCACAATTTTCTAACGTTTTGGAATTTTCTTACATTTTAAATGTATTTTCTGAAGGACGTTGATTTTGAGAAAATTTCTTCACGCTAACACATATTATAAAAAAATGTTTACAATAGAATACTTTGAAATTTGTAAAATGTGAGCAATGTTTGGATTTAAAAGCTAAATTTTCTGTTACATTAAACATTAAGTAAGAACGCCTCGATTTTTTTAAAAATTCAAACGAAAACAACATATTTAATTTTGTTTCACTGTCTTATTGAAGTTTTAAAATTTTAGTTCAAAACAAAGGTGAACATCAATGATTAAGAAAAATAAATATTTTGAAGTTCATGCATTACAATCTGATGTACTGCTGATTACGTGAAGTAAAAAAATTTTAATTTTTAAGCTCAAATTCATCTTTTCTTTGAAAAATATTTCATAAATTTTTAAATTTTTCTTTAAATTTATAATTTTAAGACCCAACATAAAATTAAATTTTTAATTAAGCCTTTTTTTAAAAAGAAATTGTGTCAAAACCAGTCAGATAACTTAATTTTTCATAATTTTTTTTCTCTCTGCAATGACAACAACAACAGCAACAAAAATATTGTTGAAAAGAAAATTACAAGTAAAAATGATAAAAATAAAATTGAAAGATGAACAGCAAAGATAAAAGTCTTACAATCCTTAGATTTTTTTTCGCAAATATAGAATAGTCCCGGTCCTCCACAGTCCACAGCTTGAACCTCAAACTTCTTAGATTCGTTGACAACAGCACACTTCAAATCAGGATCAGTAGGTTCCTCTGCCCAAACTTCGAAATTTTTTTGAACAACCGTGGTCCGGTCAATCTCAAAAGTCCATCTACAGTTAAAAGTTCAAATTAATTAGCGGATCAATAAAAAAAAATATTTGTATATTTCAAGAATACACGTACCACAACTTTTTATGGCTTTTACAACTTATTTATGGCTAACTTTTTATTTTTAATAATTACTTTGCAATAGGAATTATTAAGTAGATGTGAGTGAATTATCCAAGCAACTGTGAGTCAAGTTACGTTACTAAATTTAAATATTTTATATTTACTAACAGCCTCTGTTTATGTGTCTTTTTAACTTGAACCATCACTGTAAAAAAAAATAAAAGGAATACACAAATTTCATGAAACTTTCTTTGTTTTTGACGAACCCGGTTCCTGGTATGTGCTCCGAGCACATATTTTGTCAGTGACGAAATAACTATCATCAAAAGTAAAAAAATATTTCATCATTCTAAATTCGATCGTTAAGTCTTCATTCCATGTTCGTCATTCTAGTTAACAATCTCCCACAATGCACTGCGATGTGGTTCCGAGTTGAGGAAACATTTTCGTCCAAATCGTCACAAATCACATGATTTCGAGACGAAATGATTCTCAAAATTAACAGAATACAACTCAAAGTTTGCTGAATTGTCAAAAGTGAAAGTTTTATTTCTGAGAGTGATCTTATTGACAAGGATCCTAAAAATCTATATGAGCGATAATAACTCAACATCTTGCATACGAAATCGGTTTAATTATTAATGTAACAGCTTAATTTTTATTTCATATTATTATTATATATTAAAACTTATATATATA